GCACAGAAAAAAAAAAAAAAAAAAAGCATAGACCCATGCCACTTTAGTTTTGTGTATTTCACTGTACAGAAATTACATTTCAATAAAATTTATTAAAAAAAAATAGGAAAAGAAAGATTTTTCCCTCTGTATGTAATTTTTAAATCAAACAGAGAAAAAAGATTAGGTGGAGTGCTTCTACTGGCTCCTGGTGGTACATGGAAGAAATGTGGAATATCTCTTTTGATAAAAATGGAAACTGAAACTAAAATTTCTAGCTGTACCTAAGAGGATATATGGAAACAATTCAAACTGCACACTGGTAAGAGGCAAACAGACTAAGATACTTCAGGAGGCCCCAAAGGCTTAAGTGCATTCAGCATAATACAGCAACTGAGGTTCATGAAAATTATGACTCTAAGTCAGCAAGGGAAAAGAAATTATCCTCAGTAATCTCTTGTTTAAGGAAGGAAGAAAATGTAAATTTTAGAAAAATGGCCACATAAAATGATGCATAACGGATATTATTCTTAGATGAAAACTTAGCTATAAAAGCATTCCTTAAGTGGTCCAAATGACTGAAGTTTTATTGTACCTAGCATTTCAATCCTTAAACATCTCACCCCCAGCTATTTAGCATGTTCCTATTATATGAAATTGCTTTCAAATACCTGCTGAACCCTGGATTAATAAAAGGATATCTGGAGTTTGTAGTAGTGTAGAGAAAGCATAGCTCCCATGGAATCATGGAATAGTTATCTCACCACCACTGTCCAGAGTTTGTAATCAAACCCCAAATACCCAAATAAGAGAGATCACTTGGGAAAGCGTGCATTTTCACAAGTACATTATAAAGAGCAAAGAAAAAATGCCTAAACAAATTTGACCATAATATCTAGATAAGCCTTATAATGCTACTTAACACTTCAAGTAATCATTACAGCTAAAGATCGATAGTAGTACTTGTAAAGGCAACTTTAGGCCAATAGCTACCTAAGGAACCACAAGGCAGTGGCTTGCCACACACTTTTCCACAAGAGGGGACAGGATCCATGCATGTTTTCCGACCACTACTTCCATGTTCTAGCAATTGGCTTAATGGAGTTTGGCCACATGGGCAAAAGCGCACCAGCTGGGGAAGCCGTGGGCATGGCTGGCATGGTTGAGGGTGGCAGGCTTGAGAACACATATGGTTCCCACATTTCAAGTCCCTGTGAAGAAAAACAACAGAATATTACATAATTGATGAATAAAAACGCAGCTTTATTCTAACTCGAAAAAGGTAGAACCTTACTTGCCACATATCTTTAAACAGCCAAAGTCCCCAAATCCATCAGGTTTTCCTACATCAGTTCCACATAACACGTCTCGGGAGGTGCTGCCACAGTAGCATACTTAAAGACAATTTCAAAAACAAAACATTAGTAACCTGTGGGGTCTTCGAATAGTCAAAACAATTCACCTTTAAGGAAATACAAAATGCTATTCATTAGAGTGTTGCTAAGGCCTAATGCAACATCACAATAAATGGAGAAAAAAATTGAAATTGTCAGGGAATTCATTTTACTTAGATCCACAATCAATGTCCATGGAAGCAGGAGCCAAGAAACCAGAAGACATACTGTACTGGGCAAATCTGCTGCAAAAGACCTCTTTAAAGTATTAAAGAGAAAAGATGTCACTTTTTTGTTTTTATCGTGATGTGGGTGAAGGTTTACAGAGCAAATTCACTTTCCATACAGCAGTTCACATATACTTTGTCTCATGTCATTGACCACAGTTTACCACAATGCAACAGCTCCCCTCCC